GGGGGGGGGGGGGGGGGGGGTTGAGCTCATCACCGCTGATAGCCGAATTCCAGTACGGCCGTTATATGTATATATAAATATATAATTCATTGTTGTTCATTATCCGAATCAGCTTTTTTTTTTGTTTACGAGGGAGAAATGCTTTCGCATTCCCGCGGCCTCCGCGCTGCGGACGGAAGAGCCGCGGGGTAGGACTTGCATATCCGGGATGACCCGGATTTCCGGGCATGGCCGTTCTCAGGGATTGCGCGAAAAAAAGGGATAGAGAACGGAGAATAAGAATTTCAATCTATATGTATATGAGACAACTGCGTATTCCACAGTACATGATTTCTGATAGGTTGAAATTCTCATTCTCTGTTCCTTGTTCTTTTTATCTTGCATAGCTCTGACTTCGATGTATGCCTTCCAACAAGTGACAACGGTATGACAGTCCCGGATCTCGATCATCCGAGATTTACCTTATTTTGAAGCGCCTCTATATCCACAAAACGTGAACATTGAACTACTTAGCCAAATGCCCACGATCCCGCCGATAATGTCCATGATCTCGTTGGTAATATTCACGAATTTCTGGTTTCAGGTTCTCAATCAATCTATCGGTGCTTGTTCCATAATTGAGCAGAAAAATTCGCGATGGACTAGTCTCTACACCCGAACGGGAATTTGGGAATTAGGATCATCAAGTATCTCTACGTCTGCTTTTGTTTCTGCACTGTCTGAATATTATAGTGCACATGGTGTAATAAGTTAAAATGAAACAAACTTCAACTTATTGCACTGTATGTAGTATGTACCAGTTCAAATAGTGCAGGACTGCGTTCAGAACATCATCTGAATGCACCCAGGTGTCGTGTTATCCTTGTTTATCAGTCGTAAACAACAAGGATAAAACAACATCTAGGTGCATCCGGACAACGATTCTGAACGCACCTCAGAAACAAAAAACATACACGCCCCGGGTTGACAAAGTCAGAGTTTTGGAACGCAATCCAGTGAGCACAAATCACGTGATATCAATCACGTGAAACACTCGAATGGCCAATCTGTCTACTTCTAAGGACTAATCGAAAACGTCGAAACATGATGAAATGGATGTGCGATACCCAATCAGAAATTAGCCACGACAACGAGAACATTGTGGACTATTAGCTCGCCAATCAGAAATTGCTGAAAAGCAACATGGCTGTTATCAATAAGTCGCCATAATCTGCCACATTTATTACACATCTACACTTCATTGACTTCATTCAGACATTTACTCATTATTTGGAACTTATGGAAGTGATAACGTTGTAACGTACATTTTCCAATAGTTTCTAAATAGAGGAGAGAAGGAGAGTCTTGAAGTGTCTCGATCAGTCTCGATCATCGACACGTATCGACGGCGTTTGTCACCATTCGTCGCAGTTTTATTATTCATCGTAAACGATTTAATTCAAGGAGAATATGTCGTTGAACACGGCACACACCAACGGTGGAGTCCTTCTCTACTCTGGCGAGTGGTAAGTGATGAAAACCTAATTAAATAATTTGTTATCGTTTTTATGAAATTTACGTTAACGTAAAATCATCCGTTTTGAATAATCTCATTATGACTCTTCGGCTGTGCAATACCGTCATAGCCTTCCGCCGACAATCAACTGTATTATTTACGTCTTTGTTACTTTATCATAAATGTGCAATTACACGATCGCATTTAATTTCAATTATTCGAACGAATTATCTATTCTGTTCACGCGAATCATATTTGCAATACCTGTACCAATTAAATTAGCATGAAACATTTACACCATATCTCGCAATAATACTAACTTTTGATATTTAATTATCTGTAGCATCTTACTCTTCTGCGATAATGTCAATATGGAATTTCATGGACAAGAACAAGCAGAGTTTATTGGAAAAAAGCATGGCAGATTATACCTGACAACACATAGGATGATCTTTAATGCTAAAGATCAAAAAGAAAAGATGCAGTCGTTCAGTTTCCCATTTATTACACTGAGTGAAGTAGGATTAGAACAGCCAGTTTTTGGCGCTAATTACATAGGAGGCAAATGCCGTGCTCAGGCAAATGGTAATTGGGTTGGAGAATGCAAATTTAAATTGAGATTCAAGAGTGGTGGAGCAATAGATTTTGGTCAAGCTTTGCTGAGAACTGCTACAATGGGTAAGATAAATATAATTATGAAGTATTATAACTAAGTATATACTAAAGAGATAAACTTATCGATTTAGCTTGACTCTTTTAAGATATTAAATACCATTATTCCAAATGATTTTCAGCTCAACGCAATGGTCCAGCAAATGAAGCACCACCACCATATACGCCTCCATTATCTGATTGGTATCCAGCGCAACCTTCGGCTTATCAACCTCCTCCAACTGGTTACTATGGGTGGATACCTCCAAAAGATGTATTCCCAGATGTTCCGCAAGGTTAATATCGGTTTTTATTTTCCTATATATATTTCCTATATATGTCCCATATATATATATATTGATTTGATTTAATATTTGTAAAGTTATTGATTTACCTGTGTAAGAAAGATTATAGTCCTGAGTATTTTTACAACGTAATCTTTTATCGCTATTCTCATAGCAAGATTTAGCTCGCTATCTAAAGTAAAATATACAACTTATAAATAAATGTATATATTTGCATATGCCCATTCACATGTGTACATACACACATACACGACACATACACACCCACACTCACTTCTATTTAATTGATGCATATGCATAACAAAATATGTTTACTCCTAATAATATCTTCTTGTACAAGCATATATTGTCATATTATAACATTGAAATTTAAAGTTGTAAAAATTTGTATCAGTAGTTTATCTTGTATACAGTTCTAAAACATTAATCATGTATATAATAGGATTCATTTTTGTCATCATTTTAAATTTGCACTATTGAATATTTTTAAATGCTCATCGTATATAAAATTCACATTAAATTGCTTCTCTTCTAGGAAATACAGTCTTTATGACAGACAGCCCGCCACCGTATCCCGGAATACAACCAGGATACGGATACGCGAGCGGCCCGCAACATCAAGGCGCTGGAGCCGCAGTAGGACAACCAGGAGCTCCCGGATGGGCCAATCCGAATTACAATAGTCAGCCGATGTCCCATGCAGGTGCGTATCCCGGTGGCTATGGACAACCGCCTTATAGCGGTTATTCGCCTAATCCACCACCGTATTCGCCATACCCGCAAAGCACTTATATGCAGCCTGGACCTTACAATCAGCAGCCGGGACTATAATCCATAGTCACATCGATACTAATGAGTTATAATAAATACATATATGTGTGTATATGATATACTTGTATACATGTTGTAAATTATATATATATATGTATACACGTATATGTACATATATATATATATTTTATCAAAATTATAAATTATGGCAAATGACAGACATCGAGAAAATTACAAAAAAAATGCGCTAAACATTCTTTGCGAATAATATATTTTTGCTTATATAATATGTATATTTTTCTAAATATCTCTATTTCTCTCTCAATAGTTTAGTAAAAATATGCTTTTCGCAATTGTATTGAATATAACACAGTTATCATGTGTTGCTTCCGCAAGGTTGTAGTGTACGTTACATATATTAAACGTATACTATTAATATATACACATATAATATAATATTAAATATTGATTAAAAAAAATTTTTGCTGTTTTTATTCACAAACCTATCTATTCAAAATTACGTCTCTAAATGGAAAGATAGCTAAAGGATTAATGCGGATACCCACTAAACTTGAAAGTTTGAAATGTGTATTAAGCAATACGGTTGCGTAACATGTCCTTACTCGATCTGAAATAAGATTGGCTTTCACCTCGCTCAATTATTATCTCGTAGTTGTTAGTAGATCAGTAAACGGCTTAAACAGACAGACATAGCAGACTGTGTGCTTCAAGTCAATTTTTAATTCATGTTATATTATTAATTTTTATTGTGGATTTCGAATATAAATTTTTCACATATATATATATATATATATATATACACAAGTGCATAGATAAATATTTTGTTGTTTATCACGTGTTTTGTATTTAATTAGGAAACGGTTAAAACTTGATATAATAATGCCAGAACGAAATAAATTTAAAACATCAAACAAGAATTGTGTTTGTATGTATTTAATTAAAAAATTTATACTATAAGAATGCTAAACATATATAGATTATGTAATTTATTTTCGTTGCATTAAGTTATAATGATATACTTAATTACTGGTGATTTTTAGCTTGGCCTTTACTTAATATAAATATGAAAAATAATAGTTTATTACATTTTTTAATTTTTGCGTTAAAATTTATATTGCACATAGTTTATAAATTTTTTTAAAATAAATACGTTTATTGTTGCCATGTGCACCTTCATAGTTAATTTAAATAATAAAACGCTAACTATTTTCGTTATAGTTAAAAACAATATGACTTTTGTTTAAAAAAAACCGTGCTTTCAATTTAACAAAATTTATTCATTAATTTCGACACAGTAATAACGTGACATTTGATTTTTAACTTGTGTTTAAAGTATATTATTCCACCGTTTTTTTATCAGATGCAAAGGCTGCTGAAGCTGCACAGAGCGCATATTATGATCCTAATAGACCTCAATGCGCTTACGTTCCACCACCAGAATATTATGTAAGTTATGTTTTAATTACATGTGAATATTTATGATTACATCCAAAAATTTATAACATGCAATCTATAAAAAACTTAAATGTATATTATATATTTTTATTTATCACAAATTACTTTTTTCAAAAATATATTCTTTGTTTTTTGATATTTCTGTTTCTTTGACACACTTGATATAAAACGGGATACTTATCTCATTTCATGACTTCATTTGTACTGTATTTTTATCACAAATAATATATTATAGATTGTCTTATCTGTGACACATAATGCGACAATCGAATGTACTTAATATTATATAAATAGAATATTTTTATTTTTCTATATACATTCGGCAAATTTCGCATATATGCTTTTATAATATTTTAGTATTAGCATGCATTTATCGATAAAAATGCGTTTTGAATACGGGTTTATGTGTATAGAATTATATGTATAGATGCGTATAATAAATAATGTTTGTCGGTATATTTCAGGAAAGTCCACCAGCCTACACAAAGAAATATCAGTGAAAATGTATCGCATTACACAAACGAATTATATAGTGTAATCGGTATGCATTCCACTTTAGGTGAATACTGCAAATTTGTATGCTGTCGTGCATTTAACGTAACAAACTGTCAACGTTTGTTATACTTCTTGAATCTAGATACATTGGTTCAAGTTGATGGTTGAAGGTGCACCAAGTTTTTCTCATTATAGCTATGCAATGTTACAGCACAGGTTATTGCAGGTACTTTTTGCAACATTAGTGCTATGTATTAACGCGAATATTAATAATAATTTCTTGTACATGTTATCTCTTAAAAATAATTGTATTGTTGTGTTTCACACGAGTCTATATAATTATGAAATAAATGTTTACACATATGTAAATACGTAAACGATTTGTATGACCATGAATTTATTATAAATGAATACGTTTTAAATCTTTATTAAAAATTACAAAAATATAATAATTGCGACACTATAAATATAGTCAACTATAAAAACAAAGATTAATATTAATCTTTGAATACATTTTTTAAGAAACTATGTATTTTTCTAATAGTTGGAGAAAAGGAGATAAATTTACAATATTCAATAATAGATAATTTATACTAGAGACAATATTCTCTTATGTAGGCTCAATAAGCTGTTTATTGAGAATGCGTTTATTTTAATTTTCCCGTTTAATATAATTCGATTCATTAAAATAACAAAAGATCGAGTCGAAAAACATTGAATAACAACATACTGAATGTTAAAAGGCACATTTTGTACCTATTTCTCCAATCGATATTCGTATAAAAAGATAAAAAAACAATTGCTTAGATTCCTATCGAAGCAATTTTTGTACGTTAGAGATTACTCTCTGGAATGTATAAAAGTTTTAAAAGTCTATCCGTACTCAGAGCTAACTGTTAAACTAAGATTTCCATTTTCAATGTGAGTACTGTGATACCAAATTCGCGTATCTAACAGTACGACATCCGTTACATTGACGGAAAATTGAAAAGATTTACATTCGCTATCGCATTCCGGTGTTGGAGCCACGGTCCATGTTTTGCTACCTATTACTTGAGCTTGCCACATCAGTCTCGATATGTAATCCAACTACAAAAAAAAAAAAACAGTATCAAAAAGACTTGTAATTGATATGACACACTTTTGCAATGTCACACAAATGGACTGTTTGGCTACAAAACTCACGTGCATAACGGCACCTTCCTCATACCCCATGAAAATGTAATTGCTATATGGAATTTCAGCGTCATCCGGCAAAAAGTGAGGTATGTTGTAAAATTGCTTCATGGTATCTAGAATTTGTGGATGGCAATTTTTCCAGCCGACATACCAGGGTTCTTCGCCCTCTCGGTGTAACGCTCGATCTTCACTCATCGCAAATACCTCGCGTATGTTTGCGAAGTTACTCTTAAAATGCAAAAACTGGCATTCCTCCTCTATCGACTCGTAAGCACCCTCGATACGCTCGTACAAGTTCCGAAAAAAGTCCAAAGTAAATTCTTTATGCGCAGGCCAATTATAGGCTGCATTCTTTATTATCATAGGTCGCGACAAATAGGAATAAAAGCGAAATTCCTCTTTAGTCAAATTCGGCAAGATTAGCGGCGCTTCGATGTCACGACAGTAATCGCAATTAGTTATCGGTCTTGTAAACTCCCATATGAAATAATTGTTCGGTAACAAGCATCGAGTTCCTTGAAAATTCTTAATTATATTGTAAACATATCTATTAAACACGCCATAAAGAAATGGCATTAACAACATCACCAGCAATTTCTTCGAACGCCTCGTGAAGCTACGATTCTTGGCACTTTTGGAATTAGTAGTCATAGTAATAGATTTTAAATCATTTATCACAGCTCCATGTTGAATATAATTTTCGGTTAATTTAAGAAATGCTTTTTTTATGAATTCTTCACTATCTTCTGGCGATACCATTCTAGTTCAATTGATTAATTTATTATCCGTTTGTTTCCACTTTTCATTTCATTCCTAGAAAGCTATTTAGAATTATTGGAGTTTGTACTCTATAGATATTGGTTAAATTTATTTTTCGTTTTGATATATATAGAATACGAAATATATTTTCAATACTCCACTCTCACTCTCGTACGTGATATAATAACGTGCGTTATAATTCCAATTGATCTTAATAATATATGAATAGCAATTATGATGATAATTACTGTAATAGCACTGCCACTTGTATTTCGTTTTAATACGATCTTAATGTATTGCTAACATTATACGCCGATACTTACATTTATTATCATCGTACTGTAAATACGTATTTACTATCTGTATAGTATATGAATCATTTGCTTTGTTTAAATCTTGACGTGGCTTTGTTGTTTACATTGCCAGAAAAGATTGTAGAAGATCTGAATTATAAGTTCAAGATTCCACACAAAATGTATTTTGCTATGTCATTTCTCACGATGATCCGGTACAGCGATTTTTGTGCAAAGGCAAATCACCAGTTCAAAATACAAATAATACAAATGATAAATAATATAATCCATATTTACATGCTTGTGGCACGCAACATCTTTCTCGTCCTTGAGTTACATTCGAGAACTGTGAGAGCTGCAGAGCTGTTATCGATTATACGACGCGGAAACTTTCATCTCTCGTCCTACTTGGTGGGGACTCTCCTTCCAATGGCATTCACATCTGCCTTAGGAATGGAAGCCTGTTTTAGTGCAGCCACGACTAAGCACTTTCTTAACAAGATGTTTCCTGCATCGTATGTTCAGCAGATGTGTTTTCTGCCTCCGTTAAAAGAACAATTTGCACTATGACATATGTTTAGATAGAAGAATTTTAACGCTAATAAATCATACACTATTCAACAAAATGAAAGGATCACCCTGCAAAAATAAGCAAATTTCAAGATAGAATAACTTCATTAAAAATTATATCGAAATGTTTAAAAAACATTTTAAAACTTGAAATCTCTACTATTCAGATCCGTACTTTAGAAAACGGCCGTATCGATATTTTATAAAATTACACAAACATAAATAAAGACAACATCAAATTTCAAAATTTTTTACCAAATTTACCAAATTTTACGGCGCAAATTAAAAATTTAAGATCTGATGCATCTTCATAAAATATTCGTAAGAAGTTTTTTAAAAATATATATAATATGTATAAAAAAATAGAGATTTCAAACTGTAAAATGCTTTTTTAAACGTCTCGATAATTTTTAATAAAATTATTCTATCTTGAAGTTTACCTATTTTTATAAGGTAATTCTTTAATTTTGTTGAGTAATGTATACATATACTATATATAGATTTAATGCTAATCAGAAGACACGGTAGTGTCTAATCACGCGCAGAAATATTAGAAATGCGATAAAAAAATTAATCATTAAAAACAAAGTCTCAGAAGTATTTATTTTATCAAATCACACAACTAATGTACAAGTCCTCATTCGAATCGACTTCTCAAGTAGATTTCTCGACAATATCGACTGTATAGATATTACTAAAAATTTTGATTTATCTTATTCTTGTGATTACATAATTTAAACGTATAAAACCTAATTTACAGCAGTTAAAATGTTAAAGATTATATATGAATCCTTTATGCATAATTCTTATAGATCGTAATATTTTGATCTTTTTTACATGTTATTTTATTATTAGGCCAATCACAAAATATTGAACGGATTTCTTCATTTTATTCAATGCAAAATTCGTTGTTATTCTGCTTTCAAGTTAACATAATGATACTGAAATTTATCCCTGTCTTTGCATACAAGGATTATATCTTTGTTCAATATCGATATATATAATATGTTTTAATCTATTTCACATAAGGAGTAAGTGGGTATGGGTGTGTGTTTGCGGGCGAGCGCACATGTGTGTATTTCTTTTTTTTTTTTGCACAAACTACAACAAAAAGTATATAAAACTTCGTTAAAACTTAACATGTACCAAGAATAGATTCCATACAGTTTTTGAACAATATATAAATCTGTATACTACACATATGTGAGCACACTAAATCACTTGATAAACTGGATGTTACATAAAAATATATGATTGAATAATATAAAATCATAAGTTGTATGAATAATTACCTGTTCAAAAGTTTGCTTACAAATGCAATGTTATGATTTAAACCCTTTCGCTACGGTATGCTCATAACAAAAGACATTCGTGTGCAGAAGGTACACATTTCAGGTGTAAACAATGTTAACAGAAATTTTTACAGGTAATGAAGATGGAGTTATAAACATTTTAATCATTATTCTCTTGAAATGATTTTTTTAACTTGTCTATAATTATCTAATTATAAATATCTTTCGTGTAATGTATAATTTTTTTTTATTATAAATGTTGAAAATTGGAGGGAATAGAAATATAGACGTTCTTATATATATATATATATGTATATTAAATAATCGCTCACTTGTTAAAGGCATAAACGTATGCTCTTTTCAGCGAAAGGATCAATTGACATTAACTAAATTTCATAAAAGTTGTTTCATTGATAAAGTTTTAAAATAATATACAAATAATATATTAAATCAAATTAAAAGCCCTGGTATAGTATCCACATCAAAATTATATTTTTATTGCAAAAATGATTTATCAATAAATTGAATATTTTTTATATCCAGATTTTGAATAAAAATTGGAAGTTTCAATAAATTTGTAGACACATTTCAAGAAAATTAAAAAGACGAAATTTTATAAATCATATAGTTAAAAACATTTGTAATATTATCACAACATATTATTAATTATGGAAGTGTCACTAATCACAGTTCTCATGTAAGACTGTCTATTTTACTTTCAAAAATGTAAAAAATTCAAGGTATACACTTAAATCTGGACTATGAAAATATAAAACATTTGGCATAGTGATTACAATCTTTTTTCCCAATAAATCAAGACTAGTCACTTAAATAGTTTTCATAATGGGATAGACTACGTTTATTGGGGATTCTTTGCAATGATAATGCAACTCAAAATAAATTATTACTTACTGTTAGAAATGTGTGTGACTAGCTGACAATTTTTATGTCAATGCAACAGCAGTGTTTGTATCAATGTTTATACCCGATTAATTAAGATTTACAGAAATCGAGATTTCTGGCGATTATCAATCAGAAGTAACACCATTTGCCAAGAATAGCGTCCTTAATAGCGGATATGTACTGCGCAGGGACCCAATATATCCAATACCTTGATGCTTCTGTAGTGCCTAATTGTATTGCCTGTATAAATTTTAAAGGTTACTATTAAAATACTCAATAATTATCACAGAATTTACGATGAGCTTTCTGAACGAGATACATACCATAATATGATATTCAGGATGATCGTGAATAGGTTCACTGTGGACGCCTTTTATCGAATTCATAGGTATTTTGTCTGTTCTTTCTTTTGTGCCGATCCAAAGCTGATCTTGTTCCAATTTAAATGTTAGCCTGACTTTTCCTCCAGACTTATTTAACATTCCAGCTAATGGAAATTCAGGTAAAGGTTCCTATATATTTAATCAATGAAATCAGTTGCAATAAAATAGGTTCCATTACTGTGTGTATGTGTATGAATAAAACATTATACAGATTATACAACCTTGCTATCTAATATCCCTGGCATCACATCTTCTGGAATACCTTTATCTAAAACTTTCCTATGGATTTTTTGTTGCGAAAGAGGTTCTTTGCTCACCGAAGAAATAGTCTCGCCAATGAGGTCTTGTTTTGTTGGAATCGACACAGCCAATACATCATCTAACTTCGATCCAACTATCATAACTTTGGCACCTTAATTGGTTAGAAAACAAGTTAGTAATTTTATTAATAACAAAGAGTAAATAATATATGCTTATACTAACCATTATTATAATAACAAGATGTATGGTTATTACCTTTTGTGACTCCCAAGTTTCTTAGAGTCTGATCGTCTTTGGCTAATCCTTTAAACATAACTTTCTGCATCGCTTGTGGTACTGAGATAATTTTTTGCAAATATGTCTTTAATTCGGCAACTGTGCTATCTAAAGCAAAATTTACACTAATCTTCTGTTTGTTGTAAATCACTGTAAAGTCTATATTCTCTGTGGATGGTTCTTGCAAGGTAGTATCCTGTGAGCTGTTGACATTGTTTTCACATTCCATTGTAGCTTCTTTAGTCTCTGTCGTCGAATTTTCAATAGACTGTGGATTCGATGCGAGTTCCGGACAAGGAGACGAGTTGCAACAGCTGTCATTGTTATCGCTCTTTACAGTATCTAGGAAGACAAAAATACATTAGTATAGTAATATAACTCTCTGGTAAAAACCTGAAATTTTTTTTCCTTATAAAAACATTGTCGATTACGCTGATTGTGTACGATAGCTTTTATTTTGGAAATAAGTTATTTTAATTATTGTCATATTGATATCCAACGAAGGTACGAATGGGCAGTTAATCGGTGAAAGGTTAATCCCTTAAAAGGCTACATCCCTTTAAGAAATAAATATTTCAACAGCCAAACAGCGCAAACGTACGTCGTTGCATCGGAATTGTGGATAATCCGCAAATACACGCTTCCAAGTTTAGGAGCTTACGATAAGGACGAGCATCAACGTCATAAAATTATCTGACATACACAAACACACACCACACATGAGATAGCGTATTTCGACGGAATGTCGCAATCCACCTGTCTGCCGGTCGGACTTGCCGCGCGATCGAAAGAAAAAATGATAAAGTGAGAACAAAGAGTAGTGAACGCCGAAAATTTTTACGGAAAGCACGAAAAATAAACAGGATTCAGCACGTACCCACGTACTCCATGTTGAACCGTGTTCCGTTAGCCAATCAAAATTATCACAGAGAGCGTCACGCATCGTGACATCGGTGACGCACGTTCTTCGGAATGACTTTCGAATTTTTGAATTTCTCGTCTGCTCTCACCCTCAGTATATCACATTTATACTTATGTATATAGAAAGATAAAAAATTATATATTTTTAAATATTTATTTAGAAAACATTTTTATTTTAGAAAAAAAACAATAAGAATATATATATATATAATCTAATATATTCGAATAACTCGATCATTTTCCAACTCTACGCCAATTTATATTATTATTATTATCATCATCGACACGATATTATTAAAGATCGTCAACCTTGGACAAATTTTCGTCCTTGTCCTTACAAAAAAGATACGGAGATAATTGGAGAACGATGACATTATTGACATAAATTGATAAAAATTTTTTATTGAGACGGAGAGCATAGATCTTGCATAAAATATAACAGTCTAAAGTAAAGCCCGCCCGAACTCCGATGAGATTGCTGTTTTTACCGATAAAATGCGACATATCTTTTATGGATGCTTTCCATCTGATAACACAAGTCGACCAAGCGTCGTTCTATTTTTCTTGACATTCTTTGGACGCGTTCAGTGGACTCAACAGTTGAGTGAGCGCTCGTTGTTATTGGAGTATTCTTTTAGATCATCCAATCAGAATTTTAGATCTAGAAGAATGCAGCAGTAACATTGAGCGCCCACGCAACCGTTGAGTCCGATGAATGTACCCATTGACGGCCATGTTAAATCACGGACTAGTCTCGAACGCTTGTGAGAATGGCGCGAGTCCCGTTGGACCTCTGGTGGCGGTCGCCACAAGCTCTCGATCAGTGCGCCATCGGTCGGCGGCTTGGCGTAACCTGTAGCACGCATCCAAGCTTGTGAAGCTGCTACAAAGTCACACGTGCATACGCAAGCTTGGGTTTGTGTGTCTATCAGTTGCGCCAAGCCGCCGACCGATGGCGCGCTGATTGAGGGTTGCAAGCGGGTTAGAAATTCGTAGTAACTCGAGGCGAACTGAAGCAAGCGTGATGGCAAGTACGGGATGTTCCGCTTTCTCTCAAGACGGACAATATTACGCGTTTTGCGGCAATGATGGCAAGTTGAAAATCTGGGAGACTGCAAGTGGCCGGTTGAAGCACGAGTACACTCCTAATCGGCATTTATCGTCACCCTGCAGTGTCATAGGATGGATCTTGGTGAGCCCGCAATCGGCGGGCAATGTATCGGTAAATACTTAAATGCGCCATGTGCTCTTCAATCTCGCCGCAAATATTCCCACCTTTCGTTTTCCCTTTTTTTGCTTTATTTGCATTATTATTGTATACAATTGTCATGACCATGTCAACAATTTTGATTAGATCTGTTCTTTTTAGTTAAATTCCTGCTTAGTTCACCTTTTCTCTTTTTCTTTTCAATATAGAGAAAAAAAGAAGGAAGATGAACCGTACAAGAAGTTTAGTTAAAAAGAACAAGCCTGTTTTTAATCCTCATCTGCATCAACATTTATCTGTCCACGTCCAGTACACTATCTCAAACTTTATCAATATGTCAATTTTCGAAAGATTACATTAAAGACACATCGAATATTTCATTTTGAATAGAGACAAATTTCATGTTTTATAGCTTAATGTTTCTTACATTTTTAGTTAAAGAGCATTTTTAATGAGATCACCAATAAACGCATATTTATAAAAGTCAAATATGTTAGAAATACTCATTCCTCTGTAAGATAAAATATTTTCTAATTTCTATCTTTTAAGCCTTCACCAAAGAAGAGACGCAGAAGGAAGTCAATTTCGGAACAAGTTGATCGCAAAGCTGTTGTGGCTATGGGTTCAGTGAATGGAAAAGTCACCTTGTATGATGTAGCTGCTGCATCCGTTAGCACTACATTAGAGAATGGTCATTCTTCTACTGTCACAGCAATTGCTTGGTCAACATATACTGGATTGATTACAGCAGCTAATGATTATCATATAGTGGAATGGAATCTTCAAGAGAATGGAATCAAATGTAAATGGAAATCTGGCAAAGCAAAAGTCACAGCATTGGCAATTCCATCAAATGGAAAGTCTTTGTTATCTGCTGAAAAAATAATCAAGTGGTGGAATTTAGAAACAAAGCAATTAATTCGCACGTTTACTGGACATGCCAATCATGTCACTTTTCTTCATACTGTACAAATAGACAGCGCAACTAGTTATCTAATAAGTGCTGCCCGTGCAGACAATCATCTTTCTGTATGGATGTTAGACAAAGTATGTTGCTAACTATATTTAACACATAAAGTATTAAAAATGTTTTTTAATTCACTTCTGAAACAAAGATATTCTGGTTGACAAACGTCAATAATAAATCAATAGAAATTCATTCTAAAGATAGAAAAAGTTAACTTCTTAATACTTATCTACTTGTAACATCTTATATGATAACTCATTTTGTATATAACTGTTATATAACATTAGCTTTTATTTGGTTGATTATTTGTATGTACATTTAAAATTTATTTATAATAAAATTTTTTAAATCTATGTTTAGAATAAAAATGATAAAGCGTCGGTAGCAACATTAGCCATTCAAGATGAGGCTACATCCATCTCGATACTTAGTACAGAAGAATTGCAAGTCTGCATATTGGTTACTACTCAATCGGGTCAAGCTCAATTATTCAAATATCAGCCAAATGGTCATACCAAACCACTGAAACCATCTCTTAACATTGCAGTAGCAGCAGATATCAATCAGAAAGAAACTGTTCAACAGATTCCAATTTTAGCAGGTCACCTAACTAAAGATAAAAAACTATTACTGGCATATGGTAGTTATATCAACTTAACATTCGAGAAAGTAATGCCCGATTTTTCGGACAAAGTGCAATGTTTAATTAGATCGGAGAGATTAGATACAAAAAAATCAAAAGAAAGGAAAGAAGAGACAATTTCTAAAATAAAACCTACTGCGATCGAAGGAGATGTTGAATATCTCACACCAGGTAACATTCTTTGTAACTATATTTCTTTTTTTTTTTTACTTCTGACAGTCTATCAAAATAAATGGTTTGGTTCAATGTGTATTGGTGAAAAACGTCAAAAAAATGTGTTACAGGAATACAAGTTCCAACACAAAAAAGAAATAGAACTACCTCAGGCTCTCAATTACTCTTAAAAGATAGATTGGAAAATCTTAGTTTAAATGCAGATGCAAATACACCTGGGAGGACACCGACGAAAGGAGCCAATATGACGCAATTACTGCTACAAGGATTAAATAGTAAAGATAAAACTATTTTGACGACAGTGTTATTTACAAAAAATGAAGCTGTAATTCGTAATACTATTGCAAGATTACCAGTGCAAGCAATTATTCCATTGCTTAAAGAATTAACTGTTATGTTGCAAGGCAAAACATACACGTAATTATATTCTATTTTTTCATTTATGGATTTTCTAAATTTTATATTTTCTAAAAATTTTACGCAAATTATTTTCTAAAATTATTTTCTTAACTCATTTTATTTAGGAACAAAATTGCAGTAATGTGGTTACAACCTTTAATAATGACTCATGCAGCTCATTTAATGTCGCGACCAGATGTCGCAGAGATACTCAGTCCTATTCTAAGTTTTATCGATGCAAAGTTAGCACTTCTAACAGCTATACAAAGATTAAAAGGCAGAGTTTCTCTTATAACAGGACAAATATCTCAGGCTAATGAGGAACACAATAAAGACATAACTGAGGAGAGTTTGCTTGTTTATCAAGATCAAGGTAAATACGATGTATCAACATTCTAAATTTTATCGAATTTAACATATTAAATCACGTTATTAAAAATGTATGCAGATTCATCAGATGAAGGTGCCGATAAAGACGATATTGACCTCAGCAGCGAATCCGATGAAAATTGGGAAGAAATGTCCGATCAAGATGTTCAAGATGAACACGATGAAGAAGATAACAGAAGCGTTAAATTTGATGATGATGATGTGGATGATAATGAATCTATACACAGCTGAAATCTATCGAATTGGTTAGTGTAATGATTCGTGTAACTACTAATTTACTAAAAAAAAAGATTGAGTTAAAAGGATTATAATTTTAGAAATATTTGCTAAATATATGGTTACTTTTATTTTCTAAGAATTATTTTCTAAGTAGTAATATATTAATAATTCAGTTACTTTTTGTTAAAATGATACAGAAGCAGGGATGGGAAGATACCTTTTAAAACAACGATTTAATGAAGTTACATTTTTTTATGACAATAACTATAATTAATTAAGAGTTAAGATTAAGAATATTATTTTTAAAAAGTAAAAGAAACGGTAAAGTAACTTCCCATTCCTGCATAGAAGTAAAGTAATAACAAATTATAATAATTTAATTTTTATATCAGGGCGTATTATGGAAATGTTTGGAATGGATTCCAGTTAGAGAGAAATATTTCGTTTCCCATAGAAAACATAATATATAACTCTAAGAAATAATTGAACAATTCCGATCGGAATCCATTTCGTATAATTTTATAATACATGCCCTGCAATGTGTGTTTTACTGTTTACATCATTTACTTGTGAACTGTAAACGTTTTAAAAGAGAATTTATAACAGTTTTTTATATTATACAATCATTATTTTCAGTAAAAATCTTCATTATTATTACAACGGAATCAATTTTAACGAAAGACAGATGTAATAAAGATGGTGCTGTATGTAAAAAGTATACCTTTTCTTCACACACGAGACATTTATTTTCATTATTATGTGAAGATTTGGATGGAAAGTCAAATACAGCGTTCTTTAATAAAGAAATCATGAAAATTAATACGTTTTTCTTGTTATTTTCATAACGATCATCCTTGTATACCTAATATTTTTCAAGAGAGAAATATACAAGTGTATAATTACATGTATATGCGAATAACGTAAAAGTAATATCAATTGTTTAGTATACCTTTTTTTGTTAATCCATATCCATTAATTAAATGTAATGATATATTTAAATATAAATAACAGTGTCGTAAAATAAAAATATTTTCTTTGCATATGAATTCTATACGTATCGTACGTGATATGCGAAATACAAACTTTATCGTGAAATTTTTATTTGTAATCGAATAATTTTAGGGGAACTTAATAATACTGCTAGTAACATTATTGGAGGCTTTTTGTTTATTAATTATTAAGGAAGTAGTAACTAAATGCTTGATATGATGTTCAGTGACATATTCTGTAAGAAATTGGTGAAGACCGTAAAAGACAGCGAATTATTTACCTATTACGAAAAGCTTTCCTTGAGCGTTTGATTCTACCTAATAGTAAACCAAAGGGTATGTGATTCAAAATCTCTCTTCTCTTTAAATCTATTCGACAAGACTAAAATTACGATCATGAAACATGTTTTTCAAAGATGTACATATCTATTGCACGACAGGGACTGAAAAATTAATGCATTTTTAGATTACCAAACTATTATAATATTTTTTTGCAAATTTTAAAGAAGACTCACAATAATTACGTCC